AGCAGGACACTGCTATTAATAAGAAGGAAGTAGCAAAATGCTAGCAAATTGCAGGATAATGCTAAGTAAAACCCAGAAGAAGAAAAAAGACAGACTTAGCATTAGCGTTATTAGCATAAAACTTTGAGATAAAAGAAAAAAAAAGGTTTTAAAAGAGTTGAACAGGGATCCATTCAGTTTCAATGACACCAAAAATGGCCGAAAAAGCTAAATAGCTCAAAAATAAAAATTGCACAAATACCAAAACTCATGGCTTGACTGTCCTGAACATCTTCATATATGTTTTTTTGAGATATTACAAAAATGAGGGATGCTGAAGAAACCTACATTTTTTTGTGACAACTTCATCACTTCTCATAAACTATAAACCTTTAGTGTGTTCATGTAAGATAATTTGTGCATCGTCTGACTTGTTTTCAACCTAAAACACATCAGTCATTGAAAAAAAAAAAACAAAAAAAAAACTGTAGGAAACACAGAAGTAGTAAAACTGCTTATATAGTTATTTTTCTTATAAAACAGCAGGTTGGATTACTGGAAAGTGAAGAGGAAATGTTGCTACAGTTAGAACTGGATTAATATGTCGTAGAAATCGGTTTTGTTCTTTGGTTCATATTTGTTGTTCAGATCAAGACAAAAATATTTAGCATGTTCAACTCCACTCGACAAGTTTAACTTAGGTATTGTCCTATAATGTGTTAATCACTTTATCGACCAAATTAAATGAGCAGAGTCTAAACATATTAATGAATTAAATCTAGCTATCACTGTGTAACACAAATCCCAACAAACAGATGAAAACAGAGCTCACTGCAGCGGAGTTCACCCCACACAGTCCATTCTACATCATTAATTTGATTTATGGCTCTAATGGGAATCTATTTTACAATACACACTTTTTACTACAGCTTCTTAATGGAGAAAAGAAATATAAGCCTGTGAGGGAATTCAAATGTTGAAGTGTATCTCAGAGAGTAGATTTTGCAGAGTTATGTTAGAGCGTTGGGAAAAATAAGATTCAATCAAAAAATAAAATCTGTAGACTACCGAACAGAAGAAAATGTATCCAACTTGTTCAACACTGTGTTTAAATTTGATGAATGAAATCCCTTTTGATCAGAATGTAACTGAAGCAATGACTACCTTTAAAGATGACAATATCATTTTAATTATGAGCTATCTGACATTTATTTAAAATGTGTTGGCATCGAGCAGAACCATGACAACCAATAATTCAGTCAAAATAAGGCATTTACGGTAAATAAAAATTTAAAAATCTGCAATTGGCCATGTGTATATTTAGTCAATTACCAAGAAGGAAAATGGCGATGCAGCAGCTACAACCAGCTTAGACACGTCCTGAGTTTATAGTTCTTTAGTCAGTGTTCAACACGGTTTACGCCAGAATTATATAAATAAATAAATAAATCTCTCACACACACACACACACACACACACACACACATGTTGTTTATTTTTTTGTTTGTTTTGTTTTTATTTTTAAGTTCAGATTTTTTTTTCTTACTTACTGTTATATTTTGTTAAGTGAAAAATAAATACCAGTAGACAAAACATAATCTGTGTTGTGATCCGTAATGAATCGGTCAAGCTCTATTTTAGCCAAATTTACCAGCTAGCTGCTGATTAGAGCTGAACGATTTGGGAAAATATTCTAATTGTGATTCTTTACCTCAATGTTGCGATTTAATATGAGATTATTTTTCAGTGTCTTCTTCTCATGTATTTTTCAACAAACAAGCAATAAATCAATCCGCTTAAGTTGCAAAAAACTCCACTGTTTTCAACTCCGCTGCAACTCTGTTTCTGCATTTTTTGTATAGCTCTGGGATAGCAACTTGACTAAAATGTGTGCTCAAGGGCATTCTGTACCGCTTATCCACCGTTTATCAAAGCTGTAAACCCAGGCTTGGTCACTACTGTATTTTCTGCCATAAACATCACATCAGTCCAAATATGTAAAAAAAATTAAAAAAGTGGAAAAATCCATAAATAAGTCGCTTCACCATATACGTCGCATCTATTATGCATCACAGCTGACGCATCACGTTTGTTACACGTCACCGCTGACAATCCAGAAATGTGGGCCGGTGTTGTGCCAAAAATCAATTGGCTGCCAAATGGCAGTCACAGGGAGTGTGAAAGGGAGGACTTTACAAGAATTTAACAAGATTAACACTTAAAAACAATTATTTGTTTACTTGAAATCAGTGTTTCCCCTAGTTAACTTGCCATTGCGAGGCGCTCATCTCATCCATGATTTTTGTTGAGGGGGGGAGGGGGGAAGGTTCAGAGACATGTCTGAGCGCAGCTTGTACCAACAGTTTTTGAGTGGGGGCAGGGGGTGTTCAGCATGCGGGAAGAGGCAATCCGAGTGCTGCCTTTAGCTTTTTAGCTAGAGAGCCTGTATTTCACGCCGCTAGCTTTTAGTGCTATGTCAGTGCCGGATGGGGGTGGGGGCAAGTTCGGTTTGGTAGGCGGGATGCTCAGTTCTGCTGACGGGGTGGGACACCCCACTTGTATAATGGTAGAGGAAACTGCTTGAATTGATGGTAAATGTGTGTCTCAGTCTAACTTTTCCTTAATAAATACACTTTGATGGTCAAATCAGCTGCATTTCAAAAGCCGATACGCGGAAACAAACGCGCAGAGGGCGACTCGTGCATTTCTTAGAAATCTAACAAGATAAACACCTAAAAACAATTATTTGTTTGCTCGACTAAAGGTGTCTCAGTTGAACTTTTACTTAATAAATGCACTTTTTCTTCTTCTTCTTTCGGCTGCTCCCTTCTTCAGGGGTTGCCACAGTGAACTAAGTCGCATGAAGACTTGGCAGTTGTTTTTGTACGCAGGATGCCCTTCCTGACGCAACCACAAACCACCGAGCTACCACAGTCCTCTGTGTGGAGCAGAGAGCTGCTATCTAGGACACCCGGAGGAGTAGATGGTGGGGGTTAAGGGCCTTGCTCAAGGGCCCAGAGTGGGACAAATGAGGGTGGGGGCAGGTGTGGGTGCTTCACCTAACCCACCCACATTTTTGATGTTGTCGGTACCGGGGCTTGAACCGGCGATCTTCCGATCACAGGCCCACCTTTCTAACCTCTGCGCCACCACTCTCCCATACTTAATAAATGCACTTAATGGTCAAATTAGCTGCATTTCGCCAGGGCGGCGCAGCAAAATAAAGACAATTTGACGGTTGCTCCAGGCATGATCTCGGACCCGGAGCTGGACAAAGGTGGCAGGCTATGGCCACACGATTGTGTCAGTAATAGCCACTTTTATCTATTACATGACACAACAGCATGTCATACTACTAGAGTGCCATCTAGTGGCTGAAAAAAGTAGTGTTCAATATTTTCAGTCAGAATGAATGAAAACGGTTATATCTCAGCCAAAAACTGGTTTATAAATATGGGAACAAATCCACAAATATATTGCTTTAGCTTATAAGTTGCAGGGAATGCAAATTATACCAAAAAAAAACTGAATTATAGGGCGAAAAATACGGTATATTAATGGGCAGCAGCATGTCTCTTGCTAGGAACTCTGTTATTGCTCGAGTTATTTCCGTGTGCCGTTTCTAATTTTTTTAACATCTTTGCATTGATTTTTAACAAGAGCACATGAATATGCCCATTCATATACAAATACATAAATATAACCCAGACAAAAAATAAACGCATAAATAAAATAAAGCATAAAATAAAAAACACACACACCGTTTCTATTTATGTTCATATGGAGTAATACCTTGGAACAGTTCGGTCAGTGATCCATGTCGGCTGCTACTTTGCTTACTTGAAATTGAAGCACTGGTCGTTGGCATTCTAGCCATGCAACTATTGTAAATGGCTTTGTGGTGTTTATTTTAAGTGCTGATAAAGATTTGTGGTGTTACCTCGAGAGGTACACAGCAGCAAGGTAGGTTCTGCTCAATACACGTCGTTGCTCAGCGTCTTCTTTTTTTATAGCCAAAATAATTCCAAACGACGGACATGCTGCCCCTCTTTGGTACCAAACTTTCAGATGTATCAGCTTCTGTCGAGCCTGACGCCATTGTGCAACCGGTTAAAAGACAGTGTTGTCTTCTCCCGCTCTGCTCACTCAAGTCACGTAACCAGATCATGTGACCAGTCAAATTGCAGCCTTTGCAATAAGAAAATCTTGTTTTATCATATCACAATATTATTGCAAATGAAATTAATTGTTCAGCCGATAATAGTAAGTAAAAATAGGTGAACAGATAAGAGCTTCATGCTCTGGAGCAGATGTCGAGTTCCGCCTCTATTACCATGGAGATGTACCTGAGCTCAGTGAGAACCTCCTTTGTGATGCCAAACAGCAAACAGACTTTCAGTCCAACACTGCCAGCTGAGTTGGAAATCTCTTTGTAGTGTAGCCCCAAGACAGATAATTCCAGAAACAAACCGGTTAAAACCGACTCAGAGTGGAAAAGCTACAAAGCATCAAGTTCAATCAATGCCGAGATGAGTATGCACAAGAACAATAAAAGGCCATGATCAATGGAGTCTCGGCACCTCTCATCATGACAGCAAGAAGGAAAATCTGGTTATTTTATATTACTGGAGCGGGAGGTCCTCAACGTTTATATTTCAACGTAGTATTTTAATTTAACATTCACCTGAACTGGCAAACATAGTCCAAAATGTAGGAGAAAAAGTGATGGGTTGAATAAAATCAGTTTTATTTATTAAACCCCAGGCAAATCCCACGGAGATCACAGATCTCTTTGGTAAGGGAGACCCGAGCCTGACTGGGCACATGCAAGTTTTTAGAATGTGAGAGGAAACCGGAGAAACTCGTATAGACAACCTGCAGAGATTTTTACCACGATAAAGAGTTTCACCTCTAACTGGAACAGAACACATGGACTTAACTTAATCAGAGTTCTCTCAAAAGTCATTTCCTGGAACGCCGACCCCGTTCCATGAAAAACAGTAATGATAAAACATGCTTACCTTGATGACGGGGCCTTTGGGCGTCACACAGACCAAAACGTTGTCAGGCTTCAGGTCTCGGTGGGTGATGCCCAGACCGTGCAGGAAAGCCACGGCACTACAGAGCTGCAGCACCACGCTGTGATTATGCTGTACGTCGGGGGGTCTGGAGAGCAAGAACTGGTTCAGATCACCTCCATTGCAGTACTCCATCACGAGCCATAGGGCTAAGCTGCGCGGAGGTCCATCCTGCTCATCCTGATTCTGGGCTGATCTCTTCCTACCTCTGCCTGGAGGCCTCTGTGGGGTTGACGAATAATTAGATTTATCCAAGTCCTGGAGCTGAGCTCTGGCCTGGACCGTGTTGGTCTTGTCCTGAAGTCTAGAGGCAGAGTTAGTCCTGCGCAAATGATTCAACTGGACATTTGTCCTCTCCTGATCCTGTGGGGCTTCGACCACGCTGCCCTTCAGCACACTCTCAACAAGACACAGGGGCAGTTTTCCTGGTTTTAGGTGCTTCAGGCTCCTCGGTCCGGTCTGCAGGAGGCAGCTGTGGAGGACGATCACGTTCACGTGGTTTTTGGCGGTGGCCCTCATGGCCCACAGCTCTTGCAGGTAGAGTTCAATACACTCCGGGTTGCTGCAGGGCAGGCGTTTAATGGCCACCACGTTTCCCGTTTTGACAATCTGGCCCTCAAAGACGACCCCGTAACTGCCCCGGCCCACCTCCCTCTCTAAGGTGTACAGCTCCTCCATCTTTAATTGGCAGCCTAACACAGAGAAAACAAAAATATGTAATGTTTCTGACTTAACACATAAACCACCTGACATCTAGGCATACACTTATTTTAATTTTATTAACCCCCTGCCAACAATAATATATACTGAAAGATAAAAGTTTGGCGATGACACTAAATCTGAACATCCTTTTCGGTCTTGGGTGAACAATCAAGGATTACAAGATAGTTTTGCCAGTTGAGTTAGTTTCAAATGCTTGTAGTAAACAGGAATCATTATATGAACAGAATAGCATTTGAGCCTGTCAGACAAAGACCTGAGTATATTAGAAGATGATCAATCTCTAACAGAGCCAACCTGATCAAGCAGTCTTTTATTTATTTTGAGAAAGTCTTTTAAAAACTTTAACTTAGGTTAAAGTCATCTTGACAGGTCTGCTCACATAATTAAAATGTTAGATGAAGTGTACAAGTGTTGCATAGAGTCATTTAACAACAAGAGGTTATTTGAAGGAAGGTGTGAACATCACATGAATTCCTGTGAAAGAGTCTTCTTTAAAACTAGCTTGATTTAAGGCGATTACTGTTATTTTTAAAGTATTATTTGAATGTTGTGTGTTTTCATGTCTTTTTTATCAAACTAATAAATGAATTGAATTATAAAATTCAGCCTTTTTAACTCTGCCGTCTACTTGGAGACATTTAGTTGATAATATAACACACTGAAGTTATCTGCCCCTCACATAAATATGAACCTCCTTTCTGTTGTCACTTGGCGCTTTACAACTGAATTGAACTTATTACGGTACAGAATCGTTTACCTTTCCTTTACATGCTAATGTTAAGATGTTCGCTGGATTTTACAAACATAATATAAAAAGCAAACAATAATTTAAAGGTTAGCATGTACTTCCTGTGCAAGCTTTACCGCAGTGAGTCTCAACAGGAAGCGAAACCAAAGATTTAGAAAGAGCTTTTTTCTTATTTCCGACTTACCCACACGACGACTGTTCGTATCATGAGCTCTCAAAAAGCAGCCTGGAGAAGTTACAGGACATCTCTCATCACCGTTTTTTACGAAACAACCGACATCTGCAGGACACAAACCGTGAACAAACGGGACACACGTCCGAGTCTGAATTTGGAGCGTCCCGCTCTGTACAAACGTAATGTGATTGGCTACAAAACTCAGCTTTCGTGTTTTGATTGGTTAGAACACAGCAGTAGGCGTTCCTTTTAATTCAAACCGGCCGACACAGAGCTCTGATTGGTCCAACGGGCTGCTCTCCATTAAACAGTTATTATTGAAAGAAAAGTTTATTAGAAAATAGTCAGCTAAAAAGGCCACATATTATTGATAAAATATTGTGTGAATTTTAAAATAATCTTTATTTTAATTTAATTTTACTAAAAGTGGAGTTGTTTCTTTATTCTTAATAAACACACATGTAACTTGGATGGCATTAATCTGGCCTCCAGTTCTAATGTTAAAAATCTTGGTGTTATTTTTGATCAGGACACGTCTTTTATCTCCCACATTAAAAACTTTATTACCTGCACATTATCACTAAAATTAGAAACATCTTATCTAAAAATGATGCCGAAAAACTGGTTCATACGTTTGTCACGTCTAGACTGGGTTATTGCAATGGTTTATTATTTGGGTGTCCATACTTCTTTAAAAAGTCTTCAGTTAATCCAAAATGCTGCTGCCAGATTCTTAACTGGAGTTAGTGGGAGAGATCATATTTCTCCAGTTTTAGCTTATCTCCCTTGGCTCCCTGTCAAATCCAGAATAGAATTCAAAATCTTACGTCTACAAAGCTTATTACAGAACTTATTGTTTTATATTTTCCTAACTTCGCTCTCCGACTGCAGGTTCACTTGCGGCTCAAGTTTCCAAAAGCAGAATGAGAGGCAGATCTTTCAGTTCTCAGGCTCCTCTCTTGTGGAACCAACTTCCAGTTTCTGTCCATGAGGCTGACACACTGTCCAGTTTTAAGACTGGGCTTAAGACTTTCCTTTTTGATAAATCCTATAGTTAGGGTTGGCTTGTTATGTTGCCTTAAGCTTGGACTACTAGAGGACAAATTGAGCGCATTTCCTTAAATGATTTGTTAAAATTGAATAGTTTTCATTTGATACTATTTTTATCAACATGTGATTCTTGACCTGCCATTGTGTATCTGTTCCTCTCAAACCCAGTTGATTGAAGCAGATGGTCCTCTTGTCCTGAGCCTGATTCTGCTAAAGTTTTCTTCTTCATGAGGGAGTTTTACTTTCCACTGTCGCCTTCATGCTTGCTCAAGATGAGAGTTCTGTGATGGAGTTAAATTCAAAGTAATCTGCTCCTCAGATAAATAATGTTCAATTATTACATGAAAGTTTCTGTTCAGTGCCCTGAAGTGACTTCTGTTATGACTTGGTGCTATATAAATAAACTGAATTTAAATTTAAATTTAACTGGAACATCGTTTTACCAAAAAAAAAAAAAAAAAAGTTTTTGATTTATAAAAGGGCAGAGTTTAGGCACCTTACTAACTCACTGACTCTACCATGGAACTGAAGCAGTTTTGTTTGTATTTTTGTTCAAATTTATCAGTTATTATGAAAAATTACTTATTTTTTACTATTTTTTACTATTTATTACTTATTTTAAAACTTGATAAAGAAACTGAAAGTTAAACTGGGTTTCTTTTTCAGAAACAGATCCTGTCTAACCATGAATGCTAGGAAATGCCTTGTATCTGTGACTTTCCTTCCCTCCATTGATTACAGTGACATTATTTACATGAACGCTCCTACAAGAACCCTGCAGATGTTGGATGCTGTCTATCATGGTGCACTAAGATTCATAACTGGCTGTGATTATCGTACCCGTCACTGCACCCAGTATTCACTGGTTAACTGGACATCATTAACTTCACGCAGACTCTCTCACTGGTACATTTTCATCTTTAAATCACTTCTAGATCTGTTGCCTTCATACATCTCCTCCTACATGTCTCTGCGTGAGTGCAGCTCCAGCGTGCGCTCTCAGGACATTATTACCTGCAGTGTTCCCTCAGTGTGGACTGAACTAGGCAAATGGGCCTTCTCCTACTTCGCTCCTGTTTCTTGGAATACCTTACAAAAATATTTGAAGTTCTCGACCTTGACCTCTCTAAGTGGCTTTAAGAATCTGTTGGACTCCTGGCAGGGACCAATGCTGACATGTTCCAGTTTTTAGTTTTCTACATTCACCTTAGAATCTAGCTGTTTTTTGTTACTTTTCTTTTTACTTTTTTTTTTTTTAGCCATCCTATTTGTTAAAAAAAATTGTATGACTTTTTATAACTGTTTATTGTTGTCGCTGTTGTCCATTGTTGTCATCATTCTTTGTTGAAATCAGGTCTCTCTTGTAAATGAGTCCTCGACGCTCAATGGGATTTACCTGTCTAAATAAAGGTTGAATGAATGAAAATATTCGGAAAAATAATATCATAAAATGTAAATCGGAGTCTTTCATTGATAACTTGTTGTTCCCTTGTTGTGGAGCTAAAGGGTGGAATTGAAAATACCTTGCGTTTGTCCGTGCATGTTGTGAGCATGATAACTATGGTAGTTAGGTACCAACTTCCAGTTTGTTTTGTGGTTGCATCAAGGAGTAAGAAAGTGTCCTTTCAAAAAAAATGTACTGCCAGGTCATAAGGTGGCCACCACCACATGATGCAAACCTTGTGAGCATGATAACTTGAAAATTAAACAATCTGCAAACTTCATTTTCAGTGTGTGGCCGAATCAAGGAGAAAGACCATTTCTGTTCGAAAACTGGGTTGCCACATCAAAACCCAAGATGGCCACCACCATATTTATATGTAAACCAGCCACCTCAATAATTGAAGAAACTATGCTTTATAGTTTTTATATTGATTAAAAGTATAGTTTCCTCAAATGATTCAGTTGGCCAAAGATTAATCTATGGGGGCCAAGGCCACCACTGACCACCCCCTGGCTCCTCCATTGCACCTGGTGGTGGATAAAATTGCTCCACTCAACAGGATCCATCACTCTGCCTCACCTTGGACAAGAAAAAAACACCTAGCTCTCTTTTTATACACAGTGTAACTACTTCCCATGTGTTTTTCATGTGAACAGCTAGTTCTGGATGTCAGCATGGATGATCCGCTATGAGAAGATGTTATTTATAAGACTGAGTTTGTTGCAGCTCCTCAGACTGAAGAAGTCTTCTGGATAAAATAATAAACGTTTCAACAAGAAGAATCCAACCAGAGGACCTGACAAGATCTGTGTGGTGTTTATGTCTCCTTGTGATTTGATTTATTTCTCTGAGCCTGTTGTACTTGTGTTTCCAGCCTCTCCAGTGTTTCTCCCCATGTTGCCAGCTTCACCTTCAGCTTCACCTGTTCCCAATCCCAATCACCCCAGGTGTTTATATCGTGTCTCGTTAGTGTCTCTTTACGTTCAGCGACTCTGTGTTTCCACCTTTTTTGTGGATTGTGCTTCCCACAGCCAGTAATGTACTTTTCTTCTGTTTCCCTGAGTTAATGTACTTTGTAAGTTTTGCTGCCATGTCAGCACTTTTTGTGTTTTGCACCAAAAAAAAAAATCTGTTTTTCTTTATTTTATCTTGAAGTCCTCTGTGTCTGTCTGCACCCTGGCTTCTAAACCTCCTCAGAACATGTTACTGACTCAGCCTGGTTAGATTTATCCACCTGGATCACTGCATCAGTATACTTCCCACTTGAATATCTTGCCCCATAAACATTAAGGTTTCCTGACAGTCCCTGTTTAGTTGCAGTCCAGAAAAACACTCATCTCAAAAACTACATATACCATTCAACTCCTTCAGCGATGGGGGACATCAGCGTACTGCTCATGATTGAAAATCCCCTGTAATGAACAGGTTCAGCCCTCAAGTGGTGAGATCTGATAGAAAATAAGACTGACTGAATGAAGTAATTTAAATAGTGTAGATCAATACATACAGTCTGGAGCCTCCTTTAACAAACAGCAGCA